TAGTATCTTGTTGCCTGGATGCCTAAAGAATTCTATCTTTCCTTACAAGTATGTCAGCTTAACTAGGACATATCTCAGATTCATGTTCTGGTTATAAATTTCCTAGAACATACTGTGCCTTTTAACTTTTTTTTTAATTGGAGGATAATTGCTTTACAATATTGTGTTGATTTCTGCTGTACAACACCACAAATCAGCCATAATTATATATGTGTGTGTGTGTGTGTGTGTATATACTCCTACTCCCGCCTATGCCCCCAACCCAACTCCCTGCTCCCTATGTGACAAAGCAGCTTTCCACCAGCTATCTATTTTACACTTGATAGTATATATATATGGGTTTCCCTAGTGGCTCAGATGGTAAAGAATCTGCCTGGAATGTGGGAGACCTGGGTTTGATTCCTGGGTTGGGAAGATCTCCTGGAGAAAGGCATGGCAACTCACTCCAGAATTCTTGCCTGGAGAATCCCCATGGACAGAGGAGCCTAGCTGGCTAGAGTCCAAGGGGTCGCAAAGAGTTGGACATGACTGAGCGACTAAGCACAGCACAGCACAGTGTATATGTCTGAGTGCTACTTTCTAAGTTCATCCTTCCCTCTCCTTTCCCCACTGTGTCCACAAGTCCATTCTCTGAGTTTACATTTCCATTTCTTCCCTGCAAATAGGTTCATCACCGCTAATTTTCTAGTTTCCATAAATATGCATTAATATGCAATATTTGTTTTTCTCTTTCTGACTGACTTCACCCTGCATAACAGGCTCAAGATTCATCCACCTCACTACAACTGACTCAAACTCATTCTTTTTTAGGGCTGAGTAATATTCCACTGTATATATGTACGATATTGTCTTTATCCATTCATCTGTAGATGGACACTAAGGTTGCTTCCATGTCCTAGTTGTTGTAAACAGTGCTGCAATGAACACTGTCTCCTGGAGATCCTAATAGGCAACTAGAATTAGGAAATGCAAGACATAAATTCTTAATCTGAAGTCCTTAGAACTCTTGATAGAAAACAGTAAATTCATGAACTTCGATGGAAAAAAACTTAGATCTTTATTTTCCCTAGACTTGCATTCAAATGTATCATTTGCTCTATCATGAGGCAACAAACCAGTGTAACACTATCAATACCTGTGACTTTGCACCAAAGGAAACTACATAAAATCATGTCAAGTTGTAGAGTTGCTACAGAAAGCACAAGGTGTCACTTGAAGTCACCATTACATCAACATTGCAGTATTAGATTTGCCATTAGATTGTATTTTTAGTCTCTTACTAAAGAGTACTATATATTACTAATATTTTTAAAAATAATTCAAGAATTTCATTTTAATTTAATGGTAATATTTTATTACCTTGTGATTTTGTTTTATGCACTCAAAAATTGTATTCTGAAACTGGCTTTTAGGTTTCACCAGGGCGCCCACAGAGGTCATGGCACCCACACAAAGTTAAGAACTCTGTATTTAAAGGCTACTAATCAGGAATGCATCTTCAGAATGCTAATGAAGAGCAACTTCTTTAGAGGCATTTTGAACATGTGTGCAGTGCTGCTCTTTCAGTAATAAACTGAGAAAGGGCTTCAGTAGAAATGACACATCTTATAATAGAAGTATATCACATACCATTGTTCTTCCTTTATTAATTTCTCTAACAAAGCCATCATTCCCTTTTCTACCTTCACCAGCTGATTCACTGATAAATCCTTACCTTTTGCCTAACTCTCACTCTAACTGCCACAAATGATAGAAAATATCAGTCTTTGCTTCCTAATTCAGTGCCTTCAGACAAAATGCACCAGGTATTTGTTGGTAAAATTTTTTGCAAGCCTAAAATATATGATTTCTAAGGTTGTTGTAGTGAGAATGAAAGGATTCATTTAAAATTGATTTCTGTAAGCTTTAATTATACATTTCATAATAAGCATTGCAAGAGTCTCAGCTTAGGGGGGAAAAAAAACCTCTTAGTAACAGATTGATTGATACAATTCTCAGTGTGCCAAATTTAACTCACAGATAAATAAAAGGAAACCTTGAAAGCCAAGAAGAAATCTAGTATAAGTGTGTTTGTATGTGCGGGGTGGGGGGGGGTGGTATATGTGGGTGTGGGTGTTTATTTGCTCAGTCGTGTCTGACTCTTTGTGACCTCATGGACTATAGCCCATCAGGCTCCCCTGTCCATGGAATTTTCCAGGAGAGAATACTGGAGTGGGTTGCCATTTCCTACTACAGGGGATCTTTCTGACCCAGGGATCAAACCCATGTCTCTTGTGTTTCCTGCATTGGCAGGTGGATTCTTTACCACTATGCCATCAAGGAAGCCCATATAAGTGTAGGCTTTGGTATAATTCTGTGACAGTTAAGAAACAAGCCTCCTTACAAGATATTTCATCTTAATATTCAGGATGTTCTTCCAGCTGTCTCTAGTCCATGGTCAACTGGTGTCTACTGTCTCTGGAAATAGAGATACTGGTTATGGGTGTTAGCTGACCTGTAAGCCCCCCAACACAATTTCTTTTTCAAAAAAGTTAGCCCTTGATTACAAGCTGCCACAGTGGGTTGAATTATCCAATCCCTATCATTAAAGGTGGCAGGCACACACTTGAGAATGATGTGGGAAAACTCCAGTGAGAGTGATAATTAAACTTGGAGAATGAAGGGTCACCTTCTTGCATTCAGCTCATTGGGTTTGGCATCAGAGTAATTCTAAACCAGTGGGGGATATTCTGCTCTCAGCATGGCAATACCTAGGTGCACACACATCATTTCTATGGGTTCAAATGGGAATGCCATTTTAATTGTATTTAAAATGTTAACTTTGATATGGGGAGTAAAAATGTTAGAAATTAGTTCTAAGAATACAGAAAAATAATAATGAGTGAAATCTAAATGGTGAAAGAATTAGAAACAAGAAAAGCATGTATTGTTTTCTCAGAAGAAGAAGCATTATAGGAGAAGGAAATTGTTTCCAGGGAAATTGAAAAGAACATTTAAATGTGTTCAAGTCTTTCTATTTGACTGTAGAATCACAAAGCAAGGGTTTTGTCTTAACTTTCTTATCTACTTACTGTCATTTCTTAGAGGCCATTATTATAACATCTTATTCCTGCTCAAGAGAGGGTAGAAAGTATCAGGTGAGCTTTAAGACAAGTTATTAATAGGAGTTATTTTCCAGAAAAAGGGTTTGTTTTTTTTTTTCCAAATACATTGGCTCATCTAAATATTATTGAAGGAATATTTCCTACTATTCTTATTTTGCATTAAATAAGTAACACTGAGCTTTTAAGAGGACCTGGAATGATATTGCAATATAAGCAGGTATACTATTGAACACTATTACTAGAAAGGGCATGGATGCTAAAATCAAATTTTAATTTCAAATTTTGGCATCACCACATAACAGCTGTAAGCCTTAAGTATGCTACCTAATGCCACCTGCCTCATCTGTTTCCTCATCTGTGAAATGGGGGAAATAGTACTACCTATCTTATAAAGCTATTAGAAAATTAAATGAGTATTAAAATATATAAAGCATTTATAACCATATCTAGTACAGAGTGAATATTACATAAGTGCTCATTCTTACATAGGGTCACAGGGTTACAAAGAGTAAAACACGACTGAACCAACTAAGCATGCACACACACTTACTTATTAGCTTTATTATTTTATTTCATAAAACTGTAGACTATGTTTAAAAATATATTAATAATTATTTTTATGGTTGACAACTTTTGTCCTTGGCATTATGAGAAAAGTTTCCCAAAACATGTGGATTCTTTAAAATATAAAAAGTCCAACAAAATTGTTATTAGAGTTGATGTATAATGCTCAAACTGATAATTGCAACATCAAGCTCCAAAAGTGAAAAATTCTTAATAAGCAGAAGCTATTGATTTCAGATGGCCTTTATATAGTTTCTTTCACATCTGAAGGGTTGAACTGAGAAGGATAAATTGTATCTTATGTGATTATATTTTGTTTTAAGATAAGAGAGAATTTGGAAACAGAGCTTTCTAAAACAGAAAAATAAACCTGATGAGCTATAGGCAATTGTGTGATAGCTGAAGTCCCTTTGTAAAATTTTCTGATTTATCAGTTTGTGGGCAAACATCCACATATTTCATTGGATTTTAAATTATTTATTATTATTATTGGAATATTTGAAGTGTTCTCATTTATCTCTAAAAGATCATCGCAGAAAAATCTTTTCTACAATGTAAACATTGCCCCAAACCTCAACATCAATTCACCACCAGCTCATTGAGAGAGAGAGAAAGAGAGAGAAATGTGTGTGTGTGGGTGCACGTGTGTGCACAGTGAAAGGGGCTAGGGGAAAAGGAGGAGAATGAATGAACGACATTAAGGACAATCCTAACCAATACTGAAGAGAAAAATACTGTGGACTAAAAAAAAAAAACACAGGCAATCTATAAAAATCCACAAAGAAACAAAATACTATCTGTAAGCCTGATTTTACTGCAATATTTGTATACAGTACTTTAGAAGGAAAAAAAGGTTTTATAAAAGCTAGCTTGCTCATTCAGAATAAAGGTGTTAAAACATTTGGTAAGTTATTTCCCACTGAAAAATATAAACTACATAAGAAATTCTGCATCTGCTTCAGCTTTATATTTAAAATGATTTACAGTCTGCAATTTCTTCCTAAGGTCATCACCTTCATAAATACTAGCCACATACAGTGAAAACCAACTCAATAAAATGAGTATTTCATTTCTCTTCCTCCTGCTTATATAGATACTTCTTCCATCTACATGGCACCCATTTATAACAAAGACTTACATTGTGTGGATTTTTATGAGTTCTTTAGCATTTCTTTCTTTTTTATCTTTCTATGCATCAGCAAAGCAACTGGCAGATTCTTTAATAAAATATATTATACACATTAATATTTATAAGCCTATGAATTGGATGTTTAAATAAACATTCACCAACTTATGCCAATTCTTTTGTTTTAGGCGTTAAATCACACTTACATTGTCTGGAAAGTCGGCTTTTAGTTCAGTGACACTTTGACACCAATATGCGGCCGTTTTTTCACTGATGAGCTCAATATTCAGGAAAGAGCTTTGTCCAGGGCCATACATGGGGCCAGAGGTGGTCCCCCGGATGATTCTGGGTGAAACATTTGTCACTATATCCTGTTGAAAGAGTAAAGATATTGAGTCTCCTTTCTACAAAGAAAAACTGTTATCTTCATTCTATGCTCATTTCCATATGACAGCATTCTACCAAGTCCTGTCTCACATTTTTAATATATTTTAAATTACAGCTGAACATAAACTACTTAATGAAAAAGTAAAAATATAATATTTGTTAGCTTTATTTAAATTACTTCCTATAATTGTAAGGTTAGGACAGTGGAAAAAAGACATAAATTCATTTCCACTGGTTTGTGGCTTATACATTTTAATTTGTTTGCAATTAAATAATAAATAAAAACACATCAAGTAAAATGTCAAAATATTATTTCAGTCTATTTAATCTAAGTATCATCAGTGAGCTTTTAACTCAAATAAGAGTTAATGTTTGCAAAGAAAATTTTTTTTTCTAAAAAGTAATTTCAGTATAAATCAGCTAGAGTATATATTAGCACCACTGACTCATCAAACTTTAAAACACATTCTAACAAACTAGGTTGACTTACTTATATTATTCTAACTATAAATTTACATTCTCAATAAGTACTAATTTTTCCCGAAACTGAAATGAGGCTATCCTGATAACTATAAACAGTAAACAGTCAAATTAACTTGCTTGTTAAGTGTAATTAACAATCCATAACTGCTTCTAAAGCTGTATTAACAAAGAAGAGGAACATTCTTACATTACTAAAAACTAAAATGAAACAAAGAAGAAAAATGTTTCTTTAGCCAACTTCCAATTAAAATTAATTTTGAGTAAAGGTCATTTAGTTAAGGATTTATCAGAATTAGTCATTTAAGTACCCCTCCTCACCATCTTGTCACTTTTAGTGAGATAACATGAACCCCCATTAGTATATAGCAATTAAGGTCAATTTACATATTTTAATTAAGAACCACCCCATATAAAACAATTAGCGTAATAGGCATACTAACTGGATTTCATAACATTTGGACGTTTTTCCAACTAGATAGACAGGAAACCTTAATTAGCATTAATTAGTGCTGATCTGCATATGTTTGATAAGGCATACCCTTGCCACAAAAGATTATTTATTCCTGAATCTGCCAAATGCTACAGTTGCAGAGGATAAAAGGACTTTTCTACACATTGCATGTTAATTTCTGGCAATTTACATTCACTTTTACATTCGAATTAGTATATTATAAAATAAATGGTATAAATGTTACAATAAGCCGCCTTAAATATGTACGTTTTTACTTATAGGAATCCTGCCAGTTAATGTTTTACTAATTAAGCTATTTCACTTCTATTGTAATTGTAGGAACGTCACCAGCCTTACTTTGATTTGCTATTGTGAAACCATGTTACACAATCTTAACGGGTAAAATGACATGTAGAGTCACTCCAGGAAGCTCATGCCTAGTGAGTCCAATTTCTTTCTTGGCAAATGCTTAAATGTGTGGAATGTATCTCTGCAGGTAGCTTCTGTGCAGCTCATCCAAGTAGGGACTCTCAGGCTGTCATAGTCTGAGAGGACAATTCTAGAAATGTTTCATTCAAATCAGGTTGATTTTCTCTCATATTTCAATTTTCAAGAGCCATAATCTTAAGCTTTGAGCTCCTCCTTTCCTCTGCATTTTTCGTCACCTTGATAAGGCCAATCTAGGTCACAGGCTGTGCTCAGCACAGGAGAATTTGACCAAGGAGGCAAATATATTCAGGACAAGAGTTCAGTTCATCAAGTCACATGCCCTAGCACTGGGTAGTTCCACAAACGAAAGGCCGCAAGTTTTAAATGACTGTCTTATCATATATTGGTCTGTGTTAAGGAGGAAAAAACTTTCCTCTATGCTTCTAGATTTTTCAGACTAGTCTAAGAATTAAACTGACATGAGATAGACTAACAGGAGAAAATGAAATTCACTTCATATGTACAGGAATTTCACATATGTGAGAGCATCAGAGCTGCCACATGCATGAGACGTTCAGAGACAGAAAAGTTAAATGAAATGTACATGCCATTCAGAGTTAAGGAAAGGAGTGGGGGTACGGGGCCTCCAAGAACAGAAGGGTCATTATAGGTCAATAAGAAGAGTAAACATTTGGTAAGTAGATGCTTGCCTTGTTGTATAGATGGGGTCACTTTAGGTAAGTAACTCTGGGAAAAATTCCCAATTTAAATTATTCTTTATAGTTAAGGGAGAGCAATGGTTTCTCTTGAAGCTATAGGATCTTGACTTCTTTTAGCTCAAAAAAACCTTCATGCACAAGTAACACACTTTGGGGAGGTTAATTCTGAACCCCTGCATCTGGAAGTGGCACTTTCTGCTTATCCACAAAACTGACTCATGTGTTAGACTCGCTGCTCCTGCCCATTCTTTAGGACTTAGCTTAGACGTCAGTCTATTTAGGAATCCTTTCTGATCTCTCCAACACTATCAGGTCTTAATCTGATCTTATTCACACCATCATCACAATACATAACTTTCCAAATTGATACTCTTAATTATCTATCTATATTTTTATTGTCTATATTCTTGTCAGTACATTCCAGTAGAGTGTAAATTTTGAAAGGAAGGAACTATATCCTGATTACTATTACATAATCAGCTTCTAGCCTAGCTTTTAATGTGTTCAAATATTTTTTTCACTAAAAGTACAGCTGATTTATAATGTTGTGTTAGCTTCATGTGTAGAGCAAAATGATTCTTTTCGTGTGTGTGTGCGTGTGCGTGGGCGCCCTTCCCAGGTGGCGCAATGGTAAAGAATCCTCCTTCCAATCCAGAAGTCACAGGAAACATTAGTTTTATCCCTGAGTCATCAAGATCCCCTCAAGTAGGAAAAGGCAACCTACTCTAGTATTATTGCTTGGAAAATTCGGTGGACAACAGAGCCTGTCATGGTCCATGGGGTTGCAAAGAGTTGGACACAACTGAACATGCATGCACAGTGTGTGTATTTTTTTCAGATTTTTTTCCATTATAGGTTATTATAAGGTAGTTGCTAATGCAGTAGATCCTTGTTGTTTCAAATAATGTTTTAAGAAGGAACCTAGACAAAAACCCTAGGCACAAGAATAGGTCTTGTCCTGAGGCATGAGAACTATAAGGTATTCACTGTTGGCCTTATTCTTTTGGTGAACAAATGGGCCTGGACTTAACATTCAGAAACTCATTCATTTGTGGCTTAAATAGGAAAATTCCCTGAAGGAGGAATGGCAATCCACTCTAGCATTCTTGCGTGGAGAATCCCATAGACAGAAGAGCCTGGCGGGCTACAGTCCATAGTGTCGCAGAGTCAGACACTACTGAAGCGACTAAGCATGCACAGACACGCACTAGTCCATTTACTTGCTTACCCTGATCCCTCAGAGACACCTTCTCTGACAACAGTCCCCTCCCCGACACAATGGCTGCATCCTGATACCTGCAGGCAGTCGTGTAGTTTGCCCAATACTCCACTTCTTTCTACCCATCCTAGCCTACCGCAGAGCTTCGATGACACAGAGCATAATTGAACTTGATCATTCTGTAACTTCTAAGACCTTCTTGACCGTTAACCCTAAATTGCTGGATTTATCAGTTCTCTAAGATCCAAATAGAATAACCTCATTCATATATATAAACTAACTCTTAATGCTTTTCCAGTTCAACTGGATAAGAATTCCTAAGAGATTTCTTTGGGTAAAGATTGTGATAAGAAGATGATTTCTTCCTATCAAGACCTAAACCAACTATAGTTGCCTCTTGTATTTATTTGTGCCTAGGCTGTGCTCACATCTTAACAGACTGTGCAGAGATTTTTTATATAGTAAAATAAAAAGACATGAATATAAGAATAACAGCTGTACTGAGAAAGGAAAAACTCAACATTCCAGAAATTTTAACCCATATGCTATTTTACAGGATTCCTTCTAATGACAATTTGGTCAGGAACTCAAAACAGCCAAAAGGGTCAATCAGCTGTGATATTTAATCAAAGGACAGTTAAGCAAATGCTTCTTTCTTTAAACGTCCTGCTTCAGTGATACCTCAAAACCTCAAATTCTTCCACTAGAGATTTTGTGTACTATGGGTCGAATTTACTGTTAATGTTGGAATCATTTCATTTTCCTCTTCTATAAACCAACGTTAAACTGTAATATACCATTTGAGGATTATCAATGATTTCCTTAATCAAGAATCAACAGGAAGTACAAGGCAAATCAAAGGGAAATTTTGTCTACTTTATGACATGCATTGTTTATTCCTTTATGTTGATTTATGACTTAGCAGCTTTCCCAGGTGGTGCTAGTAGCAAAGAACTCATCTGCCAATGCAGGAGAAGTAAAAGACGTGGGTTCAATGCCTGGGCTGGGAAAATTTCCCTGGAGGAGGGCATGGCAACCCACTCCAATATTCTTGCCTGGAGAATGCTATGGACAGAGGAGCCCAGCTGGCTACAGTCCATAGCGTTGAAAAGAGTCAGACATGACTGGAGCAAGTCAGCACACACATAAGTATGACTTAGTGACTGAACAATAATAGAGCTCCTTGAAACGGATCCGTTTTCTCTTTCCTTAATTCAAGCACTACTGCTGCTGCTGATGCTGCTAAGTCGCTTCAGTCGTGTCCAACTCTGTGCGACCCCACAGACGGCAGCCCACCAGGCTCTGCAATCCCTGGGATTCTCCAGGCAAGAACACTGGAGTGGGTTGCCACTTCCTTCTCCAATGCATGAGAGTGAAAAGTGAAACTGAAGTCGCTCAGTCATGTCTGACTCTTAGTGACCCATGGACTGCAGCCCACCAGGCTCCTCCCTCCATGGGATTTTCCAGGCAAGAGTACTGGAGTGGGACTCAAGCACAAAAGATACTAAATAACTTCCCCAATTACAGGCACCTATTGTGTAGAACTCAACTATCCATGAGGCAATTGTTACCATCACAGCAATTTAAAAATTCAGCATATGAATATTTCAAATTCAACTAAAGTGCCAAAATTCCAATATGGTCACACAGTGATAAATCAGTAACATAAATTTTAGGTTAGAT